ATAGGCTGACGCGCAATCCACTACATGGAATTTGGTTTGTCGATTGACACCTGCTGCATATACAGGTAACGTCACTTCTCCTGCAGTATGCTTTACTTCACCATTGAATCCCACTAATGGCGTTGATTTTCGTGTTAGTTCGTCTTCACTAAAGTCTAGTCCAGCGAGAGTGTGCATGAAGAGAATGTTCGTCGAGGTGCCACTGTCGATTAATATCCTTTTCATCAAGCAATTAGCCATCGTCAGGGATATTACCAGTGCATCATGATGCACAGCTAGCACATCCTCACCTTCGTCGAATGCAAAGCTAATTGCACACATTGGTGGAGCGTCAACTTTGACATTGTTTATGGTGTGACACATTCTTGCACTCTTTGTACTTTTTTAGCAGCTGAATGCGTTATACCACTGACTTCAGAACCTCCTGAAATAACATTAATGGTCCGGTCGTACTTTGGGGGTGAGGTAGGGACATGATATGTTGGTGATTTATCATCGTTCCTCTCCTCGAAACGATTTTTTGCCTTGTCAGACAAAAATTCTCTCAAGTAGCCTTTTTTTAGTAGCTCGTTCACCTTCATTCTTAAGGAGACGCAATCATCAGTTCGATGAACAAGGTCGTTATGAAATTCACACCACCTTGAAGTGTTACGTTCATCACCTGGTGTTCTCATTTTCTGTGGCCACCTTACCTTTCCACCTAAGTGTTTCAGCGCTCCAACCAACTCTGGGTGAGAGATTGAAAGCTTGCTAATGTCTGGCCATGTCAAAGATTGTTGCTTCTCATATTCACTCTCGTTGAATGGTCGGTGACTACCTCTGGTGTCGCTCCTGCTACTAGTACTATCACTGCGAGGTCTCTTGTAGGATTTGTCGTCCCTAGTGGTTCTTTTATTCCTTGCCTCACGTGACTCATCTCGTGGGGAGCGTCGATAATAGTAAGCAGGATCTTCTTCCCACTTGATTTGCGCCCATGCTCTTGAGAGCACGTCTTCCATGGTTCTGCACTGATACTTAGTCAGTTCTTTGTACATGCCACCATCTGGGAGTAGACCTCTTTTGAAAGCAGAGATGGCAGTAGAAGTGACGCAACTTGGGATGGACATTTTTTTTTGTTGAAACATCCCACATAACTGCGCAGCGACTCTCCTTTCTTTTGGATTACCTCATAAAGGTCATCAGCTTTTTTTTCCAAGTTACGGCTGCTTGCGAACTGTTCGACAAAGCGATCGGTCAGTGACGCGAAAGAGTTTTTTTTTGGTGAAATGATTAGGAATTTTAGTTATTGTCACTAATTTCTTTTTGGATTTTAATGGATCTTACTTTATTTCCAAAAAAATCTGTTCAACCAAAAAGATCAATTAAATAAATCGATTAAATTACGTTTCGTTCTAAATGTAAATTTTTGTATCATCAAATCCAATGTTAAAAGTATGACAATCGTTAGTAAAATCTACACAAGATTAATCTAACGTTTACAAGATTATGGAAATCGTTATCTCCACAAATTTGCCTATCCGAAATTTAAGAATATCTCAAAAATAAAATCTATGAGCAACTACAAATTTAAAATTGTGGAATTTGGCTGTTCTAAAATTTATGTATCATCAATTCTAATTTTCAAATATGAAAATCTTTGATAATTGGAGATATTGAAAGCTTTCAATAAAAAAAAATTAACATTTTCAATATTTAATTAATAATGGACTTATTATGGTCCAGAATTTGTATGTTATCAACTCCAAATTTAAAAATATAAAATTTTTTAGTAAAATCTATACAAGAACAATATTGTAAAAATATTCCAATTAAATAGGAATTACTATATTCTTGATTAATTGATCGACGTTAACAACATCCAAAAATTTGGTACCATTATTATAATTGAAAAACTAGGAAAATCGTTAAGAGTATCTCTAAAAAATATACGATTTATTTTAATAAATTTCTATAGAAAATTTTCTGAGAATTTACTACCTTTGAATGTATTTTAATACATTTCCATAGAAATTAGAATTGAAGGTAGTAAAGTCTCAGAAATTTTTCTATGGAAATGTATTAAAATACAGCGTATATTTTGTGGAGATAATCTTAACAATTTTAATTATTTATCTCTACAGACGTGATTTGTGCGAAGATACTTATGTTTCATTTCCACGATCACTTTCACCAAAACAATTATGATATGGCTAAAAAAATTGTGACATGACAATTTTGAATCAATAACAAAATCTTGTATAACTAAATTTATATTTGTTAGCATAAATAAATCAAAGAGTTTTTAATCAATATATTATCAAAATTTTGTTTTTATTCTAAAGTTATATACAAATTTGGTTGCTCATTTAAAAATAGTTTAGGAATTGATTATTGTAAAAGTAAAATTATAGAACATTTTTATAGAATATATATTCTTTTAAAAATAATAATAAAGACTTACCAAATTTTTAAAGAGACTTTGATATGCCTGTTAAATTTGTTTTCCAAATTTCCCAATTTTTAAAAGAGACTTTGAATTTTTTTACGCAAGACAATTTGAAAGTAATAAAAACATTGTTTTTATTCGAAAGCAACAATTTTTTTAATCCGTGTTTTATTTATAAAGTTTATGATTATATTTTGTAAACCCTAGTCCTTGTTGGACTGGGCCTGTCTCTAGTCGGTCCATCCTAACTATTTTAGGAGTAGCACGCTATGTCGGTCGCTCATCATATTTCCCTTAGAAATATGTTAAGTCGGGTGATGGACATCATGTCGGCTCTTAGTCATATTTCCATTAGAAATATGTTAAGTCAGTGGTTTTGCTAAACCGCTGGTTATTAATAAATTGGTGTTGAAGTCGCCGGTCGGTGGTTAACCCACAAACCGGACGTCGTTGGTGGTTAAGACTGTTTGTCGGTAGTTATTAGTTATATCGAATGCCATGGTCAGTGTGCCATGACTTGCGACTCCATGTTCATTGTGAGATACTACTAAAAGCTCCATGAAGCGAAGAAATAATAGCGACTGACTGAACATGTCTCGAATCTGCATAACTTATGCCTTTTGAACCACGTTCCGGTAGTGACTAACTAGTGAATTTATTTACACCCAACAGAGGGAGTATAAAGTAAATAAAATGAATATTTAGATATGGCAAGTTCAATGAGAAATTTCAAAAAATGCCACTTTCCAAGTGCCACTTTACAAAAATGCCACATTTTTGAAATCTTTACAAAAATACCACTTTTTCAAAATTATTTTTTCATTATATAATTTATGTTTGGGTTAACTATGTTATATTAGGGTTTAGTTTTGAGTGTTTAGGGGGTTTTAGGTGTCAAAATATTTTTTAGAGTTTAGAATTTTAAGATATAGGATTTATAAATCTATAATTAGTGGCATTTTTGTAAATGGGCACCCCTAAGTGGCATTCTTGCAAATGTGCACACAAAAAGTGGTATTTTTGTAATTGCCCCAAGTTTAATTGGTTATAAGTCAATACTCAAAAGTCAGTTTTTTAAAGTTTTTTAGAATACTCAAAAGTCAGTTTTTAAAAGTTTTTTAGAATACTCAAAAGTCAAATTTTTAAAGGGTCATTTGCAACAATAATCTAACAAAAACTATAATTTATAATTAGTCAAAACATTAGACAGAGATAGAAAGAAAAAAGAGAAAAAGTGGAAAATGGCTTGTTTGTGTATTAGGAATTGATTATTGTAAAAGTAAAATTATAGAACATTTTTATAGAATATATATTCTTTTGAAAATAATAATAAAGACTTACCAAATTTTTAAAGAGACTTTGATATGCCTGTTAAAATTATTTTCCAAATTTCCCAATTTTTAAAAGAGATTTTGAATTTTTTTTACGCAAGATAGTTTGAAAATAATAAAAACATTGTTTTTATTCAAAAGCAACAGTTTTTTTAATCCGTGTTTTATTTATAAAATTTATGATTATACTTTTAATTTTTTAAAATATTAAACCATTTATTTGTATTCCAAATTCTATTTAAGGTATTTGCACAATCCAAAGTTAACATATTTTTTTTTTATCTCTAATGTATTAAATTATTATACGTTTTGATTTGACACATGTACATATATAAAATAACTTCCCAAGTTTATAACAGTAAATATAATTATTTTTTTGAAATATTTTTTTTAACGCAAGATAATTTGAAAGTAATAAAAAAAAATTTTAATTTGAAAGTAGCAAA